TAAATTTATTCAAGCATCTCTATCCCCTTGTGGGATGGACACTAATTTGGAAAATGTCATCTTAGGGTGTTAACACCTTCTGGGCAGAGACAATTCGGGAGTAGATCTAATTTATATCCTAGTTAGTATGCACAAACACACTTGAAAAGTTTCAAAGCAACTGAATGAGGAAGAGTCCCTCCATTTGAAGGGGGACCACCAGGACCCTGAGCTCTGGCCTGAGGAGAGGTGTCCTAGGTAGAGGGATGGTCAGTCACTTACAATAAATATGAGAGGCCGTGCCTTGTGAAAAAGTCTAATTAAAAATGTGTCACTCTCAAATGATGGCTTTAATTACAACAGATTAGTCTAAAAATTGAAACATGGTAGATGTTAAATAAAATCCCATTTTAGCCCTAACTGGTTTGGCTCAGTGGATAGAGCGTCGGCCTGCGGACTGAAAGGTCCCAGGTTAGATTCCGGTCAAGGGCATGTACTTTGGTTGTGGGCACATCCCCAGTAGGAGGTGTGCAGAAGGCAGCCTATTGATGTTTCTAACTCTCTATCCCTCTCCCTTCCTCTCTGTAAAAAATCAATAAAATATATATATTTTAAAAAATCCCATTTTAATGGTTTTACCAAAAATAATGGTAGGTAATTTTTTAAGTGGATTTGTTCAGTGCCAGGGGCTGGGCTGAAAAAGAAGAGCTGGGTTTGAAGCCCAAGGGAAAGAAACTAGATAAGAAGGTGCAGGAGAGAGAGAGCCTCAGCCACTCCTTGAGGCAGGTGAACTCACTTGTCAGACTTGTCACAGTGCTTCTGTAACTGCAGGGGGTGGAGGGTGCAAACCACCTTCAATTCCTACGCCTTTCCAAGTCTCCCTCCCCTTGAAAAATTTAAAAAGTGCAGAAACCAACTCGCAGAATAAACGATTCTATAATGTGCAAGAGAGCAAATTCAAAAAGTTCAAGAACCCAGACATGTGAGGCCAAGCAACTAAACAATTCTGGGTGATGCTTATTGTTGTGGCTAGCAAACATCGAATTTAAAAGGGAAGTTTTATTTTTAGAGTTGAACGTCGTATGTTCTTTAGAGTAAATACAAGTGTTTTTTTGTTTTTTTTGGTAACAACAGGATTACAGAGTCAAATCTGCCTCATTCTTGGTTCTATCGATGTCAATTTCCACTTGCTTCTAGCTAAAGGAATATTACCATCACGTGTTATTTCTACAGGAGATGGGTGGAGAGAATTTAGAGCTTCACTGTCCAGTATGGTAGCCAATAGCCCCAGTAGCTATTTAAGTCAATTAAAATTAAATAAAAATGAAACTTCAGTTCTTCAATTACACTAGACATTTTTCAAATTCTTAGTTGTAAGTCACGTGTGGCTCTTGGCTACCACGCTGGGCAGATTATAGAATATTTTCATCACTGCAGAAAGTTTTACTGGACAGCACTGACCAAGAGAAAAGCCATTTACAGATGCTAAAAAGAAAATTGTTCACTTCTCATTTGGTAAAAAGACTTCCAAGTCCTACCCAGCAGAACTAGCTTGACTTTGAATAATGTGGAATTGAATTTATTTTTTTAAAGATTTTAAAATTGATTTTTAGAGAGACGGGGGAGGAAGAGAGAGAAACATCGAAGTGAGAGCACACCCCCTACCTGGGATCAAGCCTGCAACCTGGGCATATGCCCTCATCAGGAATCAAATCAGCAACCGTTCAGTGCATGGGATGATGGCCAACCAACTGAACCACATCGGCCAGGGCTGTGGAGTTGAATTTAAAGGCGACTGCCAAAGATTCGATTATGATCTCAAGATATCATTCCAACCAGCCTATTTCAAATCTCTTTGCACTGACCTTCCGCTGCCACAAGTTGTTTTTCAAAATCCAAACATGCTAGGAAATGATTATTGGATGATCACAATAGCTTGTTAAAGTTCCACTAACTTAGTTTGAAAGTGCTTAGAGCAATTTATAAAAACAAAACAAAAAACAAACCAAAAACATAAAAATACATGGTACCATCAGCTCCAGGAATAAAAGTTTATAGTTAAAATAAGGAGGGACCCACTTCTGTTACCCTGAGAATGAGGAAAATATCTCTCACGCATCTGATGTGTCCCTAGCCTTATCATGAACTGAGACTCAGAGTCAACAACACCTGGTCTTCGTATCACATTTTGAGAACTGTATCACGTTTGCGCTGCACAGAACGTAATTCCCACCATAGTATGGATTTTGAGCACTATAGACCAGTGGTTCTCAACCTTCTGGCCCTTTAAATACAGTTCCGCATGTTGTGACCCAACCATAAAATTATTTTTGTTGCTACTTCATAACTGTAATGTTGCTACTGTTCTGTAAATATCTGATATGCAGGATGGTCTTAGGCGACCCCTGTGAAAGGGTCGTTCGACCGCCAAAGGGGTCGCGACCCACAGGTTGAGAACCGCTGCTCTAGATCCTTCTCCTGAAGGGGAAGACCGAGAGGGAATACATTATCTTGTCTGTGTCTGTCTTGCTGAATTGGTTACTCCACTGATCCCAACTGGCCGGATTATAACACAGAGACACCAGTGGCTGAGATGAGATGGCGGGCCGGCTAGTTTTCCCTCTAATGTGATCCCAGGTGCCCTGCTGCCCTGGCCACTGTCCTGCAGGGGGGTGCCCAGGTCACAGAGAAACAAGGCAGGAGGACAGGTAAGAGCATGAAGCAGAGACCTCAGAGAGGCCAGGTCAGCACAACACAAAACCCCTGCAAAGTCGCCGGAGGCATGAGTGTGATGGCTCTCCAACAGCGATTTTCTACCCTCTCCATCTCCTGGCACACATAAACTAATTACTAAAATTCTGCAGCACACCAGAAAATCTATTTTTTGCCGATCTGACAAAAAGAGGTATAAGTTTGATTCATTCACACCAGATGGTTATTGTTGTGTTGGCTGCTGTCGTTTTTTTAAATTTGACAATCTAAGGGGAAAAAGGTCAGTGCCCCTGACTAGTCAGGTATCCCATGATGCACACTGGTTGAAAATTGCTGTTCTATAACAAAGCCTAAACATGAGGAATTATTTTATATATATGCCATAGGGCAAATCTCCTTTGCAAAGCAACTTGTGAAAGGCATTTGGTGTGAAATGCATAAATTAAGCAATTGTTATAAAGACACTTTAATGTTGATTTAAATAATCCCAACAGATTGCCTTTGATGGCAGATTATAAGAAACATGCATTTTCCAAATACTTTGTTTGCTCAATGTCAAAACATCTGCCATCTAGTCATTATTAGCAAAACTTCTTCATCCTTTTATTTACTATGTCCAGTTTTTGAGCTTACAACTTGGGGAGCTTGCAAGACATTTGTTAAATGTGTATAAATAAAGGACACATCATTAAAATTCCTATGCTATGCCATGAAGATTAAATTTACATTTCTAGTTCATTAAGAAGTGACAGCTATCGTTAATCCTGGAAACATGGTATCTCTAGGACAAATAGAAGAAAAAGTTTGGGATTTAATGCATGAGAGCTGAGACTCTAAGATTCTTTGATCTGCAAATATTACATATATGAGCCTAACAATTTTCTTTGAAAATGTTAAGTAGGTCAATTTATCAACTGTTACCATGGAAGGTATACATCCACATTCGTCTATCGTTTTGATGAGCTGCAGCCTAGAATGGAGTTACAGCCCTGCAATATAAAAAAAAAATCTCCCTTTGATTCAAGCAGAGAAATGAAGCAGAAACTCACATTACAGCTTAGGCTTTGTTACTGTAATAGATCCAATAACTTTATTTGGAAGCATTGATAATAATTTATTATCAACTGAATAATAAGCAGCTATCTAAAGAGAGAACTCTTTAAGCATTAACATGGAAAATTCCCCAAGATATACGTATTAGAAGTGAAAAGTGAGGTGCAAGACGGATCCAAGAATTTTAAAAAGCAAAACACGTCATTTATTATGTTTGGTTCCCTAACAGGACCTCACATGTAGGAAGTCAGAATGGGTTCCTTCAAGGAGAGGGGCTTCCATTCCCACTGGGCTGTTCTCATCTTCGTAGTCACAATCCTGGCTTAGCCGTGAGAGAAGGTCTGGCAGGAATAAACCTGACCCCCCCGCAAACCAGTAAAATGTCTGAGATATATATAACCAAGTGCATTATAGGTAGGGTGGACGGAGGACAGGGATGAATTGAGAGAAAAGGAATATGAATTAAAAATGGGAAAACTCCCGCGTCCTCTGAGTCCGTTTGATTTATTTAAAAGAGGAGAAAACCACTAAACAAGGGCTCTCACCATCACCCAACCTAATCGCTTTATTTCTAATTGTAGCGGATGCCCCCAAACAGCCTCGGCAACCCCGAGAGACGGAAAACCCCTGTTCTTCCCCCAGCGCGCGCCCCGGAGAAGCCCGCCCGGCCGAGCGCGGAGCGTGGAGAGCGGAGGGCGG